AAAGGATTACAATGGGAAACAGGTGCCTGGAGTTAAGCAAGGGTAAAAACAAAAACAACGTTGAAAAAGTGAAGTTTCCGAGTCCTTACCGAACTTCATAACATCACACAGAGATGTGCTTTTGCTAAAACTCATCTGTTAGCATCTTGTGGGATGTTCTTCATGCGAAGAGCAATCCATCAATTACCCATCCCTTCACCAGGATGCAAATGTACGCCCTGGCAGAGTCGGCACCCCAAGCTTTGTGCATCATGCTCCATGAGATCCCGAAGGAAGCATGATCACCCACAGACTTGTGCTTCTCATCATTAGAAAAGAGTTTGATTTGAGTCCCATTAGGAAAGATAACAGCCCACTTGGTCTGTGCTGAATGAGAGTCTCGGCAGAGAAAGCAGCATATTACTGCCAAAGATGCACATTTTCTCTTTGTAGCACTGATAATGGCTTCCAGCTTTTGGAAGGAGGCTTATTTACTGGAACTTTCAACTAAGAATTTGCCCAGGGAAGTGATAGTAGGCAGTTGTTAGCAAAAAGCAAATGCTTACATCCTAAATCCCAAATCCCTGAACAATGTGGAGGATTATCCGTTTGTATAGGTTTCAACATTAGCAGCACAAATAGCAAACAAGCAGCTGAAACTATAATTATTAGCATGTCAAACAATAAGTGCCTGTCCAGGCCATTGCCCCCCCCCCCACCAGTGCTGACGCAGGGGAGGTGTTCCGGGCCACAGCCAGAGGGGTTACAAGCAGAATTTATGTCATTTCCTTGATGCTTAACCACAGAAATACTTGCTGAGACCACAATGAACCCAAGGCCTGGGCAGGAGTGGGAGAGGCAGGCTGGTTATGGGATGCGAGACAATCAGTGGAGGATATCAGTGGCAAAGACAAGACATTAAATCACCTCTGTTTTCACTAAACAAGACCTTATTACAACCTTAATGAACTCAGCTTATGAATGTGCATGTAGAACGAGTTACGTTCCGAACGGCCGTTCATAACTTGAAATGTTCGTAAGTCGTTATTCAACATCATTTTAAGGGTATCCGCAAGTACAAAGAACTACGCTGCTGCGCGTACTAGGCGTAATTGAAGCTTAGAAAGAAAAAAAAAGATTCTACGGACAGGAAACAGGAGCCCAACGAACACAGTTTGGACTTACAGTTCTCTGCGTTCGTATGTCTGAAGCCTTAGGAAGCTTTCAGGCACGGAGTGGCACTAATTTTCAGCCTGGAAGTTTTATGTTCAATTCCAGCACATTTTTTTCTGGGGGAACTTTGATAAATGATGCTACAATTCAAGTCTTATTATCCCAACAACTATTGAACTTTTTAAGCAGTGATTAGCTTGGGTACCTCCGCAACTGTGCTCCAGCGACAGGGCACACGTGTGCTACATATTTGCGTGTTTTTCCATGCAGCGCAATTGTGTCTATTGTGTGTGATAAAATTAGCTGGTTACCATTCTGAAGTGTCATTGCACAATTTAAAACTGAAAATTATTTTGTTTCCGACCGGCTTGGTTTTAAACTTGTCAAATTATTTTGTTGACTGGCACAACAGCTAATCGGCTTACCGGGAATTCTCCCGAGTCTCCTGATTGGTCACTCTGGGCCTGGAAGCTTGTATTCAGGACTCTTTAAAGACTTTCTTAATTGCAATGGCTAAGATCAACTTTTTTAAATGTTTCTGTACATCACATGAAAACATAACTTATGGAAATGTTATGAAGATCTTGTGCAGGACTCTTGTAAACTAATCACACATTGGTTGTTTGATACTTTAGTCCAGTCATATATTCAGATTTATGATTACATATGATATCCAGTCTATACTGGTCACATGCATGCACTCCTACATGGAAAAACAACAGCCAGAGCACACATTTTATCACGAACCCTTAGATTCGTTTTTCGTAAACATTCATAATTTTGAGTTTCAGCAGTAGACATGTGAACTTCGTTTCTGAGAAATTAATCCTCAATGTGTGTTTTGCTTTCGTCAGAACATGCTGATGAGACCGTCTTTACTGTACTTTCGCAATCAGGGAGTTTCCTTAGAAGGGTCTTTATTCAGTCACAGCCTTTGCAAATTAATGTTTGGGTTATAAATTGCTGTCAGCTAATGTCAGAGCTCAAGCCGTCTGAGGATTCTGTGCAGAAATCACTCTTTTGGCAGTTTTTAGGCTGGGTGAAACTGGACCTCGTGGTGGAGTGCAGTTCATAGAGTAGCTCCTGTCCACACTGTAGCTGGGTTCTCCATGAAACGAGGTCCTGCTGACTGGCTGTGTGTGACGATCGCCTACCATGCGCCTTGATGAGCTCTCATATCTCCTCCAGTCGCACGCTAGCCTGTCCTCGGTTCCTCCGTGTGCCTGCTATCCCCTACTGCCACTTTGGTGGTCTATCCAGTCTTTATCATTCATCCATGGTCAGTTTAACAGTCACTAAACAGCTGGTCTCATACATGAGTCATATAGTCCAACTGGGGGCTTCTGTCTGCTCGCCTGATATATACGTCTGCAGAGCCACCTTGTTCCCTGGCTGTCAGTAAATCAGTCTGCCTCAATGTTATAATGATGTTATTATATATGTTGCTGATTGTCTCACTGATACCCTGGCCTCTGTAGGACTGCTGTCCCAGATCTACAGCTAGTGTGCTCTTCCAGCATTCACTCAGAGTTTCTCTTGGGGATGGAATCGATGTTTTTTATGGCTTCCCTTTTAAACTTGGTTCAGCTTTTTGCCAGATATTGAACCACATGTCATATCAATAAAAGCCTGTTCTGGTTAATGTCTGTACGACAAAAAAAAAAAAAGACATTACAAATCAATATGTATTCTATGTAAAAATAACACTAAAAACAATATTTGATCATTAATTATTCAGTGACTTACAACGTTAACAATGAGAAAAATATGTATCGGATGCATGTATTAGATAGATATGATTTATCTAACAGTCATGCATAAAAAAAATAACTTCTGTGTATTATTATAAACATACAGCCTAGAAAATCCCAGACGAATTATTGTGAAATCTGGAGATGAATCTCAGGCAGAAATTCAAACGGCAGTCAAGCTGAGCTCCGTTAACGGGGATGAAAAAGACGGCGTTTACAGCGGGTCTCCACGGGCCGGACTGAGAAAGTCGAATGAGCTGCACAGTCAGGTTCCAGAGCAGCCAGCGAGTCGAGAGGCTCCTGTCAGGATGTGGGATATTTCCTGGAATGTGTTTCCCCACAGCAGTGTGTAATAACACTGCGTTTGCTCCTCCTGTTTTTGTCCTGGGCAGTTTTTTTTTTTTCCTTTTTTTGTACATAGGCCCATGGAGGGGTCAGCAGATGCCAGACTGACTGCACCCCCCCCCCAAACCCGAGTCGAGTTGTGCTCCTAACAGAGGGAAAATATATAAACGGTAAGGAGGGGGGCAAATCAAGGGAAGGACCCAGAATTTTGCACACAGAGACTATTCCAGATTTCTGAAATGTGTTTTAAAAGAGCCAGCATGTCCCGACTTAACCCCCAAAGTAAACAAAACCAAACTCTCGTTTTCCTGAGTTGTGTGTAGCCTGCCCCTGTCCCAACTCTGCAGAACGAGATTAATCGAATGTGTTTAATGCAGATCAGCATTTACACGCACCGCAGCCTGTCCGGCGCGAGCCAGCCGATTCCCTAAGCTCTGCTTTGAAGCTTTTACTGAGCGGCCGGCCGCTTTGCGTCACACGGGGTCCAGACCAGGGCACCCAGGGAGGACCAGGGGTGAACATGCCTTACGGTGACGCGGCGGGTGACATCACCGCCGGTGACATTCGGCAGCATAGCTTCACGGAAGGGTGACGTCACTCGTCCCCAGGGAGGCAGCTGTCCCATGTGGCAGCTCAAGGGTCGTGACCCCTCCAGAGCACGCTAATGCTTCCCAGACCCCCCAGAGATGGGGAATCTCAGCTGAAGCCACCAGGCTGGGAACTGGGCCCCAGCCAGCATGGAGAGGGCTTCCCTGCACGCTCGGTGATCTCTCCTGCGTCAAGCCCTCCCGCGTTTTGGCTACTACGTTCAGTTTGACGCGACATCGCCGGTTCAGAGCTGACTGATGGGTCCACGCTGTTCTCACACAACCACACACAAGGTCATCTGGCGGTTCTTGGTTTGTCCAGTGATGTATTTCTGCATGACACGGCCTTTGGTTCTGATTACAACCCAAAGCCTTCCAGTACATGCATAGGGTCCATGGGGAATAATTTGTCAGAGTCCGCCAATATAATTGCACTTGTAAATACAGATACATTTGGCATTGATATGGGACATATCGTTTGTCACTCAGCACTAATATATTTGGCCAAGTTTCAGTTTTCAACTGAACAGTTTGACAGTTTCCCCTTTTTTTTATAAATAAATTTATAAATGCATGTTTCTCTTCCATTTTTATAAATTTCATATCGGGCAGTCCAACATATCACTAACCACTTCTCACATAATCCCGTCCTTCAGTAAACAAAACCGTCCTGATGTCATTAATTTAGATGGTCACATGGCCAAAAATTTCACCTACTTAAACTCCTCAAACAAAAGGACATACGGCTTCCCACAGAACCGTTTTCCCCCCCTCGCTGGTGGATTTGAAAAGGCAGAAAGGGAGGAAAGGGGGACGGGGGTGGGTTTCAGGGCAACGGGGCGGAGCGGAACTCGGTCATTCAGTGACGGGAAGGTTTGAGGGGGAGAACGGATCTTGAAAGAAAGAAGGATCGGGGGGGGGCAGCCGAAGAGAGCTGTGACGGATTGCATGTGTGTGTGGTGGAGGAGAAAAGGTTTAAAGAGGAGGGCGACGTCGCTGTGGATGTTATCATATGGAGGAAATTAAAACTCTCTCTTCTTGCGTTTGTGAACTGAAGAGGGATTCTAATGCATCTCCCGGACCATGCGAGAAACCTTGACCATGAAATTCGCCTGGAGAGCTAAAATGGTAATATTATCCTAAAGCTGTTTACTAGACTGCACGGCTCCGATTCGCCTTGTCAGAGTCTGAGCACTGTGAGAACGAGAGGAGGTCCATGAAGTTTGGGAAAGTAGCGGATGGAGAGGAATGGGAGGGAGGAGTGCCGCCAGCCAATTCTCTTTAAACTGGCTTATACGGATGGGGAACTTTAAAAGAAAGAAAGAAAGAAAACATTAAAGTAATTGGAGATCGATGTGTGTAAATCACGAGACGTTCAAAGCCGCAGACTTTCCGTTGTTCAACGTGGCACGCAAAAGTTGCTGCGCAGCTGAAGCGAATATGGGACAATTGCGGAGTGGGAGCGGACCGAGCCGCAGCTGCGCCGATGGCATGAGCACAATAGCGCGATCGGGGTCCCGGCGCCGCCGCTGATCGGCCGCTCCGCGTCTTTGCCGCCCGCCTTGTTTTGCCTGGGAAGCGCATGGTAACGGGAAACGTTTGCAGTGAATCGGCGACCAGCGCGCGTCCCTCTTTTAAAGTTTCAACAAGTCTCATTGTTACCGGCCTGCCTTACGCCTGATTTATTTACACAAATGCGTTTGAGTCGTAAGGAAGATGCTTTAAACGTTAACGATGTTATAGTTGGTAGCCTACACGTTGTATATTTACTAGTTAATGCAAAAATATTATTGTTATCTCTTATTATGCACCATTAGACAAACTTGGCTGATTTCTCTGCATTGCCTTTAAAAGTTGTTAGTGTGTGACAGCGGTAGATTGGTAATGAATTTATGCAGGAAATATTTACACATCGTTCAGCCCCCCGGGACATGCGCCCTTTTAAATCTATTCAAAAATGTTATAGTTAGCACAAAGAGACTGCGCAAACTGCGGAATCAGCAGGGTTACTGGGTGAATTACTGGATCTCCCGCTATTGTTTTTGAGTGCGGACTGGGTGAGTCAGTGAGAGGCATTTATCACGCAGCACTGTACAGGAAGCGCTGGGGCGCGTACAGTGATCTGCGGGGCTCCGCCGGCTCCCAGCGCGCCGCTCTCATTTCACTGGTTTGTCTTTGTGCAGTATGTCAGTGTCAGAAAACAGCGCCATTATGAATTTGGCAATGTTGGTGTATATGGGTCCCTGTCAAAAGTTTTCCTGGGAAAAGTCTATCTGTCTAAGGACAGGAGAATCAGTCTATTACAGTGTCTACACTCCATGACCTCGTAAAAAAAATTGAATAACACAAAGTGCTGTATTGCCTCGACCCGGCCTGAATGCATTTTTGATGTGCAATGCAACTTTTATAATTAGAAAATATTGGCAGTTTATAAAACCGCTATGTCCTGGAAAACTGTCAGTATTTTTTTCAGTTAATGGTGAGCGATGGGGCGTGTCTGATTTTACTGGAGTAATTTTTTCCTATCTTTCCCTCATTGTTTTCCTGTAATTAGCAGGGTGGGCGCGCGGGCGAAGGGATGCCGTTACTGTCGCTCCCCTGTCCGCTTGTGAAGCGCGGCTCTGTGGCGTCGCTTCTCGTGTGTGTTGCGATGGTCTGTTATGCTGCCTTGTACCGTCTTAGTGGCCCCAAAGGCAGACAAAACGGGCCGCATTGAGGATGCTTAAGCCTCCACGTTACAGCGCTACGTTATGCACCCCAATCATCCCAACGCCCCTCACGAAGTATATCCAGATTTCCTCGGATCTCAGCCCTGAGCACATAATTCATGCGGGGGCGTATAGCGAGCGGGGGGCGGGGGTCCTGGCGTTCCAGTGCTGTTACTCAGACTGCACCATATGGGCTCTGCCTCTGTTCCTTCTACTGCTCTATCTAATCCTTTTTCCTTGATTAAACAAAACGGGTCTTCTGTCGGCCTTCACTTTTTTTTTTTGTCAGCCTTGTAAACCCAATGTTGTGTCTGTTTGTTTTTTTTTTTACGCAGAGCTCCGTGCAGGACTGGGGGGAGGAGGTGGAGGAGGGGGCCATATACAATGTAACTCTGAAGAGGGTCCAGATCCATCAGGCGGCCAACAAGGGAGCACGATGGCTGGGGGTGAGAGGACCCCCCCCCCCCCGTCCATACACCACACAAACAACACCCCCACTGCTCTTACCGCTCCTCAACACGGATGCCCACTTGCGTATTTATGCCTTGTAATCTGCACACAGTTGGCAGTAAAATGGCCGTTAGTGTAAGTGTTAGTGTCCCTTGTTATTCCTTCTGATGACAGCACAGCTGGGTTTAAGCCGGGTTGCCCCAGCAAGTTTAAAGCCAACTGTGACTCGTATGGGGGGGGGGGGTAGCTAAACCCAGGTGAGTGTCTGGTTCATCTCCCCCACAATCCCCTTGACCAGCTAGATAGACGCTACTTTGCTCGATCTCAGTGACCCGGTCACAGATCTGGTAGACCTTGGTCTGTCTCCCTGAATAATTTAGACTTTATTTACATTGTTTTGTCAGTGGTACAGGGGGCAGGAAAGTCTGCAGACAGTTCATGGGTCGGTCACAAGGCCGTGTGTTTGCTTGTGGTGTCTGAGGAACGGCAGCTCTGCCTCTGCTTTGGCGAGAGGTTCGACACGGTACCGTGTTTGATTCTCGCGGCTCTAACGAGCAGGTGGGGCCAATTAGCAGGCGGCCCCAGTGAGCCGCTTTGCTCTTCTTTGAGGGGGGGCCGTGCCGTGCGATTGAAAGCAGAGTGGGGCGTGTTACAGAGTGCAAACTGCACACGGGCCTCTCTTCCGTCTTTTAGCTAAGCTTGTGGTGGGGTCTCCCTCCGTCTTTCTGCTTGTTGACCTCGCCGGTGCCCCCAGGTGGATGGGGACCGGCTCCCCCCGGGCCACACGGTCAGCCAGCTGGAGACGTGTAAGATCCGCAGCATCCGGGCCGGCACGCTGGAGCGGCTGGTGGAGACGCTGCTTACGGCCTTCGGCGACAATGACCTCACCTACACCAGCATCTTCCTGTCCACTTACCGCGCCTTCGCCTGTACTGAGGGGGTGCTGCAGCTGCTGCTTGATAAGTACGGGTGAGCCGGGGGGTCTAGGGCTGATGGGTCGAAGGCCACGGTTTTGTTACTATCGCCGCTTTCTGCACGGCTCAACCGGCCTTCCTCTCTCGCAGATACGGCAGCGTGGAGGACGAGGGAGATGGAGACCAGCAACGGCCTGACACGAGGGCGGAAATCCAGAAGTAAGAGTCCTTGCCGATGGATACCCGTCCACCTCCGTCCAGTGTTTCCACCTTGGCTGCTTTTCCTGGTTGCGTTGAATATTTGACTCTGAGCATAATGAGTGTCCAGTGGCCTGTACTACGAAGCAGGGTTACTGGCTTATCGGGGTAACTTGTCAGATTTAAGGTACCACAGTTTAAATGGACTTCATATTCATTCACTTACATTTTGCCCAGACTACCTTAAATCCGACAAGTTACCCCGATAAGCCAGTAACCCCGCTTCGTAGTCCAGGCCACTGGAGGGCTACAGTATATCGGTCTGTGTTTTGAGTTTTCATGCTCTGCATGGGGCAGGGGAGCAGAGGTCTGGGTGCTGAATGTTGATGAATTAAGACGGGGGGGGGGGGCGGCCAATCTTCTCCGCAAAGGGCCAGTGTGCATTCAGGTTTTACATACGACGGCCCTTCCTGGATAAGATCGCCTACCCCTGAATTGAGAAGCTGCCCCCTTTGTTATGTACACACTGTTCTGGTACGGAGCGGCCTTTTCTTTTTATATCAGCGTCCTTCCTGTTTCTGTGTCAGCGTCCTGGCCTCCATCCTGCGAGCCTGGCTGGACCAGTGTCCCGAGGACTTCCAGGAGCCGCCCTCGTACCCGAGCCTGCGCAGGGTCATGGAGTTCCTGCAGAGGGCGCTGCCTGGCTCAGAAGCGCTACGTAGAGCGCAGAGTCTGCTGGAGGTGCTGCAGAGCCAGGCCATCCTGGAGTCTGAGACTGACGGTGGGTCAACGCTCCTGAACTCCCTGCTCGTGCTGCTGATTATCATCCTGCTAATACTGGCTCTGTGTTCGGTGCAGGCGGTTTACAGGGTAACAGCCCCTTCTGCCTCGGGGAGGAAGAGGAAGAGGAAGAGGAGGCGCAGGACTTCCTGTCCTTTGGTACCGATTTGGTGGCAGAGCAGTTGACTTACATGGATGCGGTAAGGATGTTGACCGATGAGCGAGGTCACAAGCTTGCTGCTGGCCTCGCCCCCCAACCCCCCCCCTCCCCCCGCCTAACTTGTCTCTATCTTCGCATCGGCCCTGCAGCTTCTGTTCAAGAAGGTGGTTCCCCATCACTGCCTGGGCTCCGTGTGGTCCCGACGCGACAAGAAGCAGAACAAGCAGAGTGCCCCCACCATCCGAGCCACCATCACGCAGTTCAACGCCGTGGCGGCCAGTGTGGTCAGCACCGTGCTCCGTCAGCGACACATTCGCCCCCACCTGCGAGCTCGAGTCATCCAGCACTGGATCGACATTGCCCAAGTAAGCTGGCCCGCCACCCCCTGTCATTTACTGTGTGTGTGTGTGTGTGTGTGTACATGCTGAGGGTCCTCACTGCATGTATGTGACACTGACAGGAGTGCAGAATTCGCAAGAATTTCTCCTCCCTGCGAGCCATTATCTCGGCACTGCAGTCCAATCCCTTGTACCGCCTGAAGAGGGCGTGGTCCTGCGTGCACAAGTGAGTGTCCGTCCATGCTACTGGCCTGTACTCCCCTGTTCTCCCGTAAATCTCTTCTCAATGTTCCACCCGCGTCACAGCCAGTGTTTCTGCCTCTGTCAGTCATCCCTTATTATTGTGCGACACTTAAACTTGGAAAGCATGAAATTCCCTTTTAAAAAGCTTCTCCCTCTCCTCCTGCCTCATGGCTTCCCAGGGACAGCATGCAGGTGTTTGAGGAACTTTCGGATATCTTCTCCGATCACAACAACTACCTGACCAGCCGGGAGCTGCTGATGCGGGTGAGCTGTGCAAACTCTAAGAGACCTGGAAGTAGGATTTCTCAGTTAGCTGGGTTACTTTAAGCTGGAAGTCAGGATCGTCCAATAAGAGTTTAGGTAAGGAGCATTCCTATTGGACAATCAAGGCTTCTATCTTAAGTTAACACAGCTAACTGAGAAATCTACTTTTTGGAACATCCCCCTGGACTGATAGTAATGTCTCAGTAATGATTCCTTTGTCAGTGGTGGCAAATGTAGCATCTAACAGCTTTGGCTGATGGGCCTTTAGCATGAGCTGCTTATGGATGCCGGTGTGAAGAT